GGCACTTACAAGTACCTGGAGCTGGCTTACATTTGTGAATGTAAGTAGCTTGAAGGCCAGTTAGCACTGGTTCACCCTACTGATGCTCGTCTGTGGTCTAAATGTGCATAGGAAAAAATGAGAGATTAATCAAGATGACTGCTTAAGTAACTATCTTTTCAATGATAAAAAATTAAAAAAAAATTTTAAAAAATCAAGCTCTATTAATCCAAAAGTGTTCAGGTTTCTGTGTGGTTAAATTGGTTCTTGATTTAAGAAACATTGAGCTGTGCTGATGAAGTGTAAAATGCAGTATGTTTGCAGTCCTGCAGAAACGTAACATTTTGTACAACCTGTCACTTTGATATCTATCTGAAGTGAATCTTTCGTCTGTTTTTTTTACAGATCCATCTCCCCTTCCAGAGGAGTCTCTGTAAACATGCTGGAACCACAATAACATCACAATAAACATGTACCAAATAAAATATGTTAAATCAGCAGCATGTGGCTTGTCACAGTTTGTGATTCGGTTTTATCATTTTGCTGTTGTGCGAATGATTATTGAACAAAAATGATGGCTGTGTAGAAATGCACCATCATTGTCTTTGGCAGCTGAAGAAATTCAACCTGCCAAAGACAATGATGGTGCATTTCTACACAGCCATCATTGAGTCCATCCTCTGCTCCTCCATCACGGTCTGGTATGCTGCAGTCACCGCCAAGGACAAGGGCAGGCTGCAGTGCATCATTCGCTCTGCCGAGAGGGTGATTGGCTGCAATCTGCCGTCCCTCCAAGACTTGTTCGCTTCAAGAACCCTGAAGCGAGCAAGAAAGATTGCAGCTGACCCCTCTCACCCTGGACACAAACTGTTCATGCCCCTTCCATCTGGTAGGAGGCTGAGGTCCATCAGGACCAAGACCTCACGCCACACGAACAGCTTCTTCCCGTCCGCAGTCGGGCTCATCAACAAAGCCCGGGTCCCCCACTGACTCTCTAATCCCCAGGACAATTTCCTTCCCTCCCTACTACTCCCCTGCACATCACTTCATATTTAAATACACTTGTCACTTTTACACTACACTTGTTTACAGTCCTGTTATCTGTTTGTCGTGCACTCTATTTTATATTCTTTTAAATTCTATTGTAAATTTCAATATGTTTCTATTTCTTGCACTGTTGATTGTTGTTTATTGTTCAATGTTATTGTCTAATGTTATGCACCACCTGCCATGACAAATTCCTTGTATGTTACATACATTGGCAATAAAGGGTTCTGATTCTGATTCTGATTCTAAAAATCTACAGAAATGTGGACAAGCAAAGCTCCACTGCAGTGACTCTTAGTGTGTGTTGTTTTTGGGTTCTTCCAGGAAGTCCAGAGACAAAAACAAAATAATTTAGTTGCTGTGGAGTGCTCCAGGAAGTCATTGCAAAACTCATTTGTGTGTCACTTTGCAAATGTTGGGAGGAATTTCTCCAAGACAAAGAGCTCTTCTTCTTGTTGATGTGAAAGAGTGCACTAGTTGTCAGGCTGGAAAGACCATCTCTGAACAGGGTGATGACAGCATATTACAACATAACCACACAGCGAGTAATGCACTTTGTAAATATCCTTATTGTGAGTTTTGCAATGCTGTGCATCATTTAACTTTTTTTTTTTTTTTTTTTTTTTTTTTTTGTTCAGGGCTTTTTGTGCATGCCTCTCCTCGTGGTGTTTTCTGTAATGTGAGTCAGCACATATGGAGCCAGTTGCGCAAGTTCAAGCAATAAATACAGGTGTGTCTGTTCTGGCATCTATCACTCACTGTGCACCTCAGCCTGGATCTCCTAAAATCATGCTCAGCTTCAGACTCGGCACCACACTGCGTGAGTACACAATTGACTGGCAACTAGAACAACAATTATGTGGGTTCATGGTTAAGTAAGAATTAAGACTAAAGAAGCTAATAGCTTTTAACACTTGACTGGATGTTTCAGGGTGCTGGATGGTAGCAGTAGTAGTAAAGTCGACCCTACACATAATCAGTGTTGCTACTCGATGAGAAATGCACTTTTTCTTCAGGCACATAAAGGGGCCTAGCAGTGACATATATTTCAGTTTATTTTCCATAATAAGTTCCAACCTGGACAATTCAATGCTGTGTTTTCTCTTTCTGTCATAGAAGGGCTTATTTATAATCATCATAGTCATTTGTTTCCTGCTGGTAAATACATTTACATTTTTTCAGTTTGACAAGTAACCCTTCCATCATTCCTATGATTGCGTTTCTGAAGTCCATGCCTCTAAACATCTAATTTCACAGTTAGTATAATCAGCCCTTCTCCTCAAACCTCATTAGTATGAGGGGATGGACTGCATCAAGTACTTCAGCTTGTACAGTTTAAGGTCATGTGAAATGAGAGGGTTGAGAGGATCTTGACTCATCATTTGTTGTTTTGCATTTAAAGAAGCTGTATTTAACACTCTGAGCATAACTCCAGCAGCAAACAACTATTATGTAAAGATATAGTGAAGTAATGTCAGCCCGAGGAGAGAATGAAGGCGCTGCACTTGTTTATTCATGAAGTATAGTAGGATGATTTATTTTCCTTTTTGTATGTACAGTTAAATAGTCATTATCTTGTAAGAAAACCTTATTATTGTTGGTAACACCTGTGATTTTCCTGCTTTGACATGTCAAAATGTCTGCTGTGAAAAACAGGTTTATACTTTGATGAAGATGTTTGTCTGACACAGTTTGACAGCGATGTTTCTTTTCCAGTGCTGGCAGCAACATGCTCGCTCATGACAGCAGGTAAATATCTGAACGGATGAAATTAACGATGATTCTTGAATGTATTTATTTTTTTGTTACGTACCGGATGTGGCTTGAATGCACTTCAACTAATGCTTTCACATTTTTATTTGAGTTGTTTCCACAGAGAGAGTCATCACCTGTTCCAACGGCCGGAATGTCCAGCGCCTGATCTGTGGTATGACAAAACTCTCTAAGTCCACTGTGAGAGTATTTTATTCCCACACAAACAAATATAATGAAGTGAATTGTCCTGTTTCTGAATTTCTCATTTGGTGTGACAGATATCGGAGTGATCAGAGTGCAGGCAGCACTGTATGGACGTGCAGACAATGAGACATGCGGTGAGAGAAGACCTCAGAGTCAGCTTGCCAATACAGAGTGCTCTCAGGAGGGCACAGTGGACGTCCTCAGGAGCAGGTACACATTACATGTACAGTAATGGAATATAAATATACTGTTGTTATTGCATTCTAAATGTGGATACTACTGGAAATAAGTCTCAGAATCAGGTCATGGAGTCAATGTCACTGAGTTTGAAAAAAACTCAAATGCAGTAATTTAGTGGTTGAAATTTGAGGATACGTTTCTTCTGTTGTGCAAGGATTTACGTGATTAATATCTAACTACTAACTTAATTACTTTTGCTGTGTGACAAAAAGTTAGACACCGCTGGGTCTCACTGCAAAGTAACCCAATGACTCACAAACCACGAATGAGATCTTAACTCCACGTTGATTTACTTGCATCAATGCAAAGTGCAAGTAAACCGAGTTGTCTTGAGGTCGACTAACAAAAGAAAAGCACACCTCTTCAGGCCCTCGCTCTGCGTTAGGACTGAGAGTCCCTTATGCACCTGTTTCAAAACTAACAGCTCACATCTGTGATACTCATATGTACTGTATCTCTTTTAAATCATCCTGTTGTCTTCCTACAGTTTTCCCCTTCATCACACACCACATTGTATTCAGTATCTGTCACTGTTGTGTTGTGAAGCCATTGTTTTCCACTGTAGTCCTCTTTCTTACCACCTTGG